AAACTTTAACGTCCCACGAGAGGGGACATCCGAGTGATATGCTAGAATTACGATGTCCCACGAGAGGGGACAGCGGGGTGCAAAGGGTTAACATTCTTCAATTTTCACGCGTACATCATTCTCTCACAAGGCGTCATGATTAGATCGCGGATCTTTAAACAAAATAAAAATTGCCTGCATCGATATTGCAAGAAATAGAAATACCCTATTTGGGAACGTAACTACCCAATTTCGCCATTAAATGCACAAAATTCGCAGTCTAGTAATAATCCAGAGGTGTAAGGGGTAAATGTGGAACCAGCTATATAAGGACCACCCTAGCCTACACCATCGTCTCAATCAGAGACGATTCCGGTAGCGTGAAAGACGAATCGTACATTCCGGATCGTCTATCGTAATTCGCTCGACGAAGAGAAGCAGGGACACGGAACGCGATGGAACGACGGAATGATTTTCTTTTGATACACCGGCGTTGCGGTTCGTTCAACGATGTAGCACATTCGCATCGTAGCTACACAGGCCGAAGGTGGTCATCGAGCAATGAAAATATTATGGCAGGTTAACGCTCACACGCGAGGACTGCCGCGCGCCGCTCCGTTCTGCCAGGTTAGGGGGCGGACTATTAAGAAGTCAGCCCCCAACCAAGATCTCCGTATGGACGATGGCGCGCGATGGTAATAATGACTGTGCCGGTGAAACTGGTCTCGGGACGAAGGGTGCGGCGAAGCGTGGCATCATGCGTCGGGACTCTCAGCGGTTTACCGCCGACGAGGCTGAGCAATGCTCCACGTCACCGATGCATTATTGAGTCTGTGAACCGTACAGGTGGCACGGCCGTCCTATTAGAACGAGAAAGACGCCAGAGTCGCCCGGGGTGCCTCAACAAAGAGGGAACCCTATTATCTTCAGGGAGGGAACAGGGAGAACGGACGCGGAGAGGTCCGGGAGGTGGAGAACCTCGTCGGCTCGCTTCGGAAGGGGTTACAGAAGTCACCGGGAGGGTGGAGAAGCACTTTAACTTGACCTTCGTGCCGCCACGATTTTTTGACTTTCGACACTATCGTGAAAATCTCTAGGGACGAAGCGATTCGACGTATATCGGTTACATGCCGCACCAACCCTCTGCAACGAGCCAAACTCGCGACGAAGATTTCATAATCTGTTGCAGACCTCTGGATATACAGGGTGGGGCATATTAAACAGGTCACCTGAATAACTCGCTTGTTTTTGAAGATAGGAGAAAATGCATTAGACCAAACTTACTTGCTATCGGGGGGCTCATAATTTGGTATTACCAATTTTTTTGTAGGTGGAGGATTTTTTTGTATGAAGGTCAATTCTGTTTTTTTTTAAATGGAACAGTAAGTTTTTTTACTTACATGCTGATAGAGTGTTTCGAGGAGAATACAATGCACTATTATGAAGGTCATTCAAGGTCACCCAAAGTGACACAGAAAAGCAAAGCTAACATACAGTAAAATGGCAAATAATCACACAAATTTGTTTATAAATCTAATAAAAAAATAATGTCATCTATTTACTTAAGTGCAATTTTTATCGTCATAATGTAAAAGCTAAGATCAAGTCCAATGCAACGACCACAACAATATGACCATATGACATTTAGTACAGGTGCAGAAATATTTATGACATTTCTAGTCCTTCGCTGAAATGTATAAATCTCTGAATTTTTCTTCAAATTATTTTCTAAAACAGATAATTTAAAATTACCAATAATGTTTGAGGATACAGATAAGCGTACAATGCGATTGAATGTTTGATTATCTTTTGTGACCCGTGTCATGTAATACACACACGTGATACACAAGTATTCGAAAAGTACTCTGAGACAATTTATTTTCTCTTGCAGTTGACTTTTTGTTTCTTATGATATTCATAAATGTTATATTATAAAATTATTAATATTATTATTATTATGTTATTAATAATTTTATAATATAACATTTACGGATATCATAAAAATGGGAGTGAGAGACATCTATAACTGAAATCGGCAATTACTTAGTTGCCAACCCAATATGTACCGAGTTGTCACGTTTCTAATATTTCATCTCTAAATCGGTCTTAATTGGTTTTTTTGTTTTTTTTTTTATTATTATTATTATGTTATTTTTTATTATCCGTGAATGTTAGCAACTGGACAAATTGAATGCAGCGGTCAAGGAAAAGCGACCAGAATTGGTCAATCGTAAAGGTGTCATTTTCCACCAGAACAATGCTAGGCCGCACACGTCTTTGTCCGCTCGGCAAAAATTCATGGATATTGGTTGGGAATTGATGTTGCACCCACCATATAGTCCTGATCTCGCGCCATCGGATTACCACTTATTTCGATCCCTGGACAACTCCCTTCGTGGTAAAACTTTTAATGATGATGACGCTGTAAAATCTCACTTAACTCAGTTTTTGGCCGGAAAGGATCAGACTTTCTACGAGCGTGGAATTTTCAAGTTGTCAGAGAGATGGCAAAAGGTCATCGAACAAAATGGAAAATACATTACAGATTAAACTTCATTCCAAGTAAAAAAAAATATTTCATTGAACAAATCGGCAATTACTTAGTTGCCAACCCAATATATGTAGAGGCTTACGAAAGTCTTCGAACACCTTCTAAAACGCAATAACTTTTTTCAAACGATACTAAATGACTTGAATTTTTTTTTTTTTATCCAAGGACTAGACAATGACTGAAATGCTTTCTTCTATTATGCTCTTGCTTGAAATGACAACAAAGTAAAAAAATCTCGTTTTGAACTTTTCTTTGTCTGAATCTATAACAAACATTTAAAAAATGTCTTTCCTAGATCTCGGTAAATCATGTGTATGCTGAAAATTTGATCGAAATCGGAAGAAAGATTCCAAAAAAATGCAGATTCCTTACAGTTTTTGGTCAAAAGTGTCAAAAATCGGGACAAAACTGCGATTTTAGCGATCTTTAATTATTCGTAACTCATAACAACGTCAACCAATTTCGATCAAATTTTCAGCATCCATATAAATTACCGAAATCTACGGAAGGCATTTCTTCAATTATTGTTATAGGCTCCGATAACAGGTTAAGAAACGAGAGTTTTTTACTTTTTAGTCATTCCAAGTAAACGCAAATTAAAAATCATTTCGGTCATCTTCTAGTAAACCAGTCCCCCTATCATTTAAAAAAAATTCGAGTCATTTAGTTCAATCTTAAAATAGTTATTGCGTTTGAAAAGTATGAAGGCCACTGTATGAAGAGTGTTTTCACAGCGCAGATTGGATAGCTAGTACATGCTAGAGGAGTGATCGAAGTTTGCTTGGAAGTTCTCGAAATCACGTTAGTCACAACGGACTCTAACATCGCTAGGCTAGGAAGTTGCACAAGTCGTAAGCTTTCAAGAATCGGCTTCGGTCGGGAAGCGATCTTTAACAATCCGCAAACTGCTCATTATGCCCTGCAATATGCAACAACTCGTCGCTCCGGTGACTATAAGTTCCTTCACAGAACTACGGGTACAGTTACGGCAATTGTGTGTGTCTAGAGTTTACGTTGTTGAAAAATGCACATAACGAGAAGTCTCTACGCTTCGATGAAAGCTGAAGCTACCATTACAGTTTCATCGGAATCAGTGAACAATTCCCTGTAAAAGGTAAAGGAAATCAAATAACGAAGTTTAATCTCTTTTGTAATATTTTATAATTTCTTATATTGTTATAGAGATCCGACAGATTTCTCTGAACTCGATTACAACGTTTTCTTATCATTTATTTTTACAATGAGATACAATTAAGTGTTGTTTCTTTCTTAACGCTAAACCTACCAGAGCGGTCAAACGACAGTTCTGTAAAGTTTCAGCAATATTTTTAAATTCAATGTTTCCCCTTTTCCTGAATCTACTACGCCATCCCTTTTAATAATATTATACAATCGTACATGAATGTATTCTACGATCAATAATTGGTATTCGATATATAATTGTTCTCCTTTAATAGTAATCTTTTTGTTATTTTTTTGTTTCAACGCGCTTACATCGAAATGGACTTTTTTATTTTTTTGAGTTACACAGTTTTTAATAAAAATTCCAACGGATCCACGCTGTACTTCGCTTCCGTTTTCACTTCTTTTCTTTTCATTTTTTCCGTTTTCACAAATACTCCACTCTCTTTCTCTCTCTCTCTCTCTCTCTCTATCTCTCCCTTTCTCTATACTCTCCCTTTCTATAATATTACTTTACATTTATTTACCATCCATTTTTTTTCGTTTACCAACTTTAATTTATAATCTGTAAGGAATTGTTTTCGTCGAGTAAGTGTCGCTCGCTAAGATGATCACGGTGCATCTCTCTCGCTCACGCGCCCGCCTGCAGTCCATTTCACGCTCTTCGTAGTACCTTAATAGTAACAATTATCGTAATAATAGTAGTTAATAATTAATATTAGTAGTAGTAATAATAAAGTAGATTAGTATAACTTTCATTGCTGCGCCGTATATTTAAATATTAGTTGCAATATCAATATTCTAAATACTATTCTGTGAAGTATTATTTTATATTATAATTATATTATAATTATATTATTACTATATTATTACTATATTATATTATATTATAATTATATTATTACTATATTATTACTATATTATATTATATTATAATTATATTATTACTATATTATATTATATTATATAATATTTTTTTAATGAAATACTTATTTCACATTACTATTTCCATATGTAGCTACACCCACGGGATAATAAAAATATTTACATTCTATTTACTATTTCATATTTTCTATTTTCACCGGCCCTGGATCTAGTTCTTTACATTAATGGGTTTAGAGTAGTGCACAGGTTCATCCAAAAGTCACGCAAATGGTATAATTGTTCGTTTATTTACTTCGTGAATTTTTTGTTACATAGATGGCGTGATTTCTAGGAGCCTATGAAATATTAATATATTTTGTAATTCTTTTCGCTTTCGTTGGCTTAACAACATTTGTACCAACAGGTACGGAGATCAAATGGAGGATAACAGCCGAGGCGAGACCGTGTGCAAAGTTTGCGGTGACAAGGCTTCGGGGAAACATTACGGGGTGCCAAGCTGCGATGGATGTCGTGGTTTTTTTAAACGGTCAATCCGTAGGTATGCAAGGTAATTAATCACCTCCCGATTTCGTGATAAGTGCGGCCACAAAATTTGTGAAAAACGAATCAGTACAAATCAATAGTTTGTTTCAATTACAACGTTTCGCGTGAACGTTTTTCATGTTCAACTAACAAAGAAAATTTATTATGCAATTATGTATACACATTTTATCATATTTTTAAAAATAACAAAGCGCAATCTTTATATAATTTATACTGTGGACGTTCGTGCCTATTTTTTATGTTGTTTTATGCAAATTGAAACGGAATAAAAACTTTCACTAAGATTGAATATTTCACGTGAACGATGTAAAATAAGTGATTCATTTCAATTCGAAGATTATGCAGTGTTATCTCATTCCGAAATGGTTTCCTAACTAACAATTACTGTGGAACATAGCTTTAATATACATATATTTTCATAGCTTTCAAGATTATACTAATCATTAGACTGCAGATTTTATGCATTTATGACAAAAATGACTATATCAAATGCAAAATGGCACAAATATTTAAGTATTTTGATAATATTATTGTAACACTCTGTCATCTCATTAAAATTATTAAGGAATTAAATGGATGTCTATTTAGCTTGTTCATCTTGCAATTAACGATGAAAATTTTTATTTTTCATGAAAATTCGCGGTATACTAATCATATAAACAACTGGTAAACAGTGTTTCTATTGTTTTGCCTGCTTCAGTCCAAAAGAGAATTTAGTAGGCATCTTTAAATTCCTAATTAGAATAATTATGAAGGGAGAAATGTTATACAATAAAATACCCACGGGCGTGAAATTTTAGTTTCCATAAAACTCGATGCTTTTTTATAGGAATTTGGACTACGTCTGCAAGGAAAATGGCCGCTGTATCGTCGACGTTTCACGTCGCAATCAGTGCCAAGCATGTCGTTTTACCAAGTGCCTTCAGGTTAACATGAAACGAGATGGTACGCTTCGTTTCACCGGTGATTAAAACTTAATTCTTTTTTCTATGTATAAGGAACACCAGCGTATATTTGCAATTCCAATAACGTGCAATACTCAATACGTATTTTGCATATGATTTATAAGATGTTGGAACAAAGTCTAAGAAAATCATAGTTACCAATTTACGTTGAAATATTTGAATTACAATTTCTGATCTCGATTTTTGACTTTTCTTCTTGCAAAATTTTCGACAGAGATATTATTATTCGTTCCGTAAATACAAATTAACACTGCTGCGAGGTGATAGGGTGTGATAAAGAAAATAATGTGAGAAAACAGAAATTCTGGCTATTAAAATGGTTTTAGATTTTAAATGTTTATTTTCTAAATATTTCTAATTCGTTATTGAAATACATTTTCCTATTCCTATTCGAATAGGAAATCACCAACAGGAATCACCTCTGTGGCATTTATGACAAACATAAGTGGATCACATTTAAGACACTAAAATAAAAAATGTCTACCTGGCTTTTTTAATGTTATGTTATTCTGAAGTAAAAGAACTGGATTCAAGCAGTAAATGATTTTCTTTTATTCATAAAAATGAAAAAGATATTTATAAATACATATAATTCAATACATACATACTATTTTGTGTTATAGCTGTATATTTATGCGTAAGCTCGTGACTTTCACTGGCAAGAGATTAAAGAAAGAATAAAGTCTCCAAGTGATCCGTGAATCTTGCAATAAATGCAGACAATTTTTATTTTCCCTAAAGATCATAGGGGTCAATATTTTACCATATCTGGTGATTAACCCTTAAATGCATGATTTTTTGTTCTGAATTTTAAAAAATCGTTTTTTATAGGAATATAGTCATAGGTTACGTAAAAAATAAATAAAAAAATGTAGGTAATAATATTGAGTATTTATTTTGAAAGAAAATTGTATGTGGACTTTTGGCAACAATATGCGTTTATTACTAAAATTATTGTAGACGTAAACAAATGGTCATGTATTTATATTATCTATTAGTATAGGAATTTTCACATTATTTATAAGTGAAATGCAGCAAAGCAATTGTGATCTTTGTTGTGACACAAAGCAATTTTTAAACTCGAAAAAAGAAAATATCTCTCCAAGTAACACATTGAAGGTTATCACCTACCACATTCAAATGTCAAAGAACATATAACATACTCGCCAAAAGTAATGTCAAGTCTTTTATTTCACACATGGTCTATTGTCTATTGTTATCAACGTGTGTTCGGAAACGCGCATACTCAGGTTTTTGAATAAAATTAAGTGGAACTGGAATGTAGACAATTGGCAACAATATGCATTTAAGGGTTAACACCACATTTACGTAACGTTGAAAGTGATTAATTTACATTCAGCTCACAAAAGTGAAAAACGCATCTTTAGAAGTCCCGTTTAATTCTCCCGTGTTAACGATATCCCATCTGCCAGAGACATCGCTGGTGTCAGAAACCCGCGCGATTCAGGGTCCTCCTTTCGCAAACACGCGTCGAGAATATTACAATGCATAGAGACGCTCCTCTCCCCACGCGTAAGAAATGGAGAAGCCATAAAAAAGGGGTGCTCTTACCCACATGAAACTCTACACTTGTGCTTGCTCGCACAAGAATCCGAAAATTTAACCGACCCGTGGAGTGGTGGAACAGTGTCACTAGCAGCCCGGCGTTCACAGCTATTGTAAACACTTCTGCCCCGACTAGGGTTGCCGGATAATCCAAACACTTGATTGCACGGCGCTATCAATTAGCGAGGGGAGGGATCGAACGATGCCCATTAACGGTCCGCGAGTCTGATTTTCTCCGTCGAACTAGACAAAAAAGCTGAAAAACATGGGGTCAATAATGGTGCTGCGCAGACACAGAGTGATTGAATTTCATGGGGTCGATTTTATTTCAATCGATGCGTTTGTGATTTTTATGCATAGTCCGTCGGCTTTTCGGCTGTGGCAGTTAATAGTCTGCTGGAACAAGAAGAATAGTTAATATATCGAGAAGTTATTGTAATTAGGGAAAAAGTTTTTGATCATTTGATTCTGATAGGACGGCTCACAGAAATGTTTGTAATAATTGTGATAATAATTGTATTAATAATATGTACTAATATACGTAAATTAATATTTTAATTTAATTTAATACTTTAGTATAATATATATATAATACTTCAATATATACTTTTATAACAATAACAAGATCGGACTCATTTAACTCTCGAATGGAGGACCTTTTCGGCAAACACATAACTGAATGTACTTGCGTTCTTTTATAATTCTATTTAGTAATTTTTCAAGATATTTTTTAATATATACCTCTTCGAAAGTTAGTTTTTCCATAGACCTTAACGAAACATGTGAAGATCGACATTAATAGTCAGAAACTAGATGATCGGATAACAACGTTTATGTTCTGGGTCTGAATGGAACCCCGTACGAAACCTTGAACAATGTTTACAATAACATATTATCTAAATTATAATCGTGTACATACAAATTTTTCATAAATACGTCCTTATAATGTCAGGAATTGTAAAAGAATAATTAGGAATCAATTTCGATTGATTTGGTAGTTCTAGTGTTACGTAATTCGACGTGACCTAATATACAAGGTGGTCAGTAATTGACGGCACAATCGGGAGGTGGGGTGATTCTACGTACAAAAACAAGATAAAAATATGAAGTAACATTTTTTCATTTAAGGCTTCGTTCTCGAGAAAAATTAGGTTGAAAAGATAATGCTACCAATGGTATCTTCCTGCTCAGTTTTCTCAAAAACGCAACTCTTAAATAAAAAAATGTTATTCTCTTCATATAACATATTTTTGCATGCAGAATTTTTGTTGCATGCTCTTCTCCTGGTTGTGCTATCAATTACTTGAACAC